TAAATCTGGCAATGTGTTAAAGGTTAAAGAGAATGAGTGCTATGTGATTTTGTTTGTTTGTTTGTTTGGGGGTTGGGTATTGTTATGTCATGTACACAAAATATTTATTATGAAGGGCAGACTTATTTGTCACAAACTTTGAAGAGAGCTATAGTATCATGTATTAGATTAGAGTCTGTTAAGCCTTCATTCACATACATTTAAGGGTGTCGGTGATTAATTTTGTATTTGAGGCAAACTATTGTTTGAAGAGAGTTTGGTGCCTTTTCAAATTTGTTAAATACTAAGTATTAGCGTATAGATTTTTTTAATATCTTGTATTTAATTTCAAAATAATAAGTGTAATATTAAAGATATTTAGAACGTGAATTTGAAATACTGATGAATAACAATTTGAAGCAAGGTCAGAGCATTTATGGGCAATTTCTAAAACAAGTTTATAAATTTATGTGAACTGAATAATTTTAGTGCAAGCTGTGACAGTTACTTACATATAACTACAGCTGAGGGGAATGCATGCTTATATGAATCTTTAACCTCCTAAAAATTTAAACCAAAGGCACTATTTAAAGAAGAATTTATGAACGCTGTAACCTCTTCAGGAAATGAAATGACAGCAGCATTTCTTTCTCTTTTTTTTTTACTTTTCTAATCAGAAAGGGAAACATGGCAGTAAGAGCTACAGAGCATGTTTTTCTACATACGCACACTTACTCCTATGTAAAGGATAACCATTCAGTAGTCAACGTTTTTATCTAAGAAAATGCATAATACTTCCCTATTCAAAGGAGTGCCACTATGCACTTCTGCAAGTGTAGTTCAGTATAGAAATGTTCTATTCAGAAAACAATTTTATAACTAAATTCCTGTTATTTTACTGTAATTGTAACACAAACTCTAATTCTTGTCCTTTTGTTTCTCTAAGCCTGTAACACTCTGGACAGGAAAACAGGTTTTCAGCCTCATTCTCAAACCCAGTGATGACTGTCCTGTAAAAGCCAATCTGCGAACCAAGGGCAAACAGTATTGTGGCAAAGGGGAAGACCTGTGTTACAATGATTCTTGTGAGTGACATTTCTAAAGCTGTGTTTTGGAAGTCTTCAGAGAAATTGTAGCTATTGTTTTGCTATGTTTGTTGCTGTTGAGCTCACTGCAGGAGTTAAAACAGTATTTCACATAAGAGTTCTTGAAATGAAAACTAAAATTATGCTGGTTTTTTCTCAAAAGTTGACGTCCTGCTG